TATGATTATTCCAACTTTTAGCTAAACTGTTGCAATCTCGAGCTAGGGAGCCACACGCAAAACTTTTCAGCCCCCCCCCACGTACTTGTACTAGGTTTAACAACATTTAATATTGCGTAGCTTACATACAAAACCAAAGAATTAACCATCTGCAAAACGAACTAAACCAAACTAATCAAAAACTTGTCTTCCAATATGCCTGTTAATGACAGTGTAAAAAATCTTCTCTTCAAGTCCGTTAGCCGAATGATTTCGACTTTTCACTTAAAAACATTTCATTGTCAAAACGAAAACGAAAACACTATCAACCAATAGAAATAAACGGATTTATCGCGTGTTTATTGTCATGAACCCTAACTTTGCAGTTTTTAAACCGTCAGTTCCAGGATAGTGGTTCATTTTTGATCTACAGTTCATATAACGTCTTAAACCTCTATCACCTCGAATATGATCAAATGATAAGGCGAGCAAAAGATTTATAAGCCGATAATAAAAAAATACTGTGATTCACAAAGACACCTTTTTTTGAGTTTCTCTATTAACATCTTCACAAGATAACGATCTCCATTCTCTCATCCAGAATATCTCTAACCAGAATTTGATATTACAAACAATCGGTCTTCATAAAAACAACCTCACATCAGAAACCAATCGTCTAGATACTAATACCAGTTCACTTTCTATCCGTTGGTGTTTAGTCGATTAATAGCAAAGGCCAACATACATATTCTACGTCATTTGCATCAAATAACTTTTTCTTAAAAATTCACTCGAAGGAACGTTGATACACCTCACCCCCCTATGTTCTCAAAAGGTTACAAACAGTAGAGCGCGAAATATGCAATTGCCCCTTGTTCACGCTGTATGTATACTATTTTCCAATATAAATCTTCACCGAGATGTTTTGGCGTCTGCTTAGTGAATAGTGTTAAGAGACGAACTGTAAATATCGTAAATTCGCTCCAAATTGCTTCGTGATTACTTCATATCGGTTGTAATCGGTTATGATCGTTTGTATTCGCTGATGTAACATTTCTTTCTCAACCTCCGCTAAGTAGAATAACTACGTTATACTAAGTAAACGCGTTCGTTGTTTCGGAGAGATTCGGTAATCACTGAAGTTTTCAGCGTGCGTTTAAATGTTTCACGTATATTCCCTATTTTTCGCAAAAAGAGTATGACCAAAATTTTTGCGTAGCTACAGAATTTCATGCCTTCATTAATACAAGAAGTGCCTTTCCAAGTATTGTAGATATATGGGCGTAGCACAAAGACGCGTATGGCACATCACATTCGCACAATATTTATTTCATATATCGACGTACTTCTTCATGATCGAATATTGCTTTCAATAATAGATTGTATTTGACCCTGTTTGGGTTTTTGGTAAATTTACCCTGAGCACAACAACTCGATTTATATACAAATATCCAAGTAATTAGTTAACGTGTTATATAATATCCTATCGCTATCGGATGGATAATCTGCTAAATATTGTCTAATTTACAACTCTAAATATATAATCCGTCAAATTCGTTGGCACATAAATCTGCAGCTTACGAAGCAAGCTGTACACCTGTGCCTGAACTGCAATTGAGTCGCAATTGATGCTTTATATAATATACGTAAAACAATACACATCAACAGCTGAGTCTTGTTTAATTTTGCGTAAAATTTAAAAATTTATCCTCTTTATTCCCGTATAGTCATGCTACATCATAATACTCGGGGATCAGTTGATTCGACAGATTTTATTATTTTATTGAGTCACCAACATCAATTTGCTGACACAAAACAAATATAATATCTTTCATTTCGATTACAAATCGATTACATTTGAGCTAAAAAGTTTGCATAATCGGTTACTTATTCGTATTTAGGCAAATCGAAAATGGCTTATTATTATCATATTTTAGCAGTTCAAAGTATTTACCACCTTTCCCAAAGTGTGGGAAATTTGTTTCATTCTTCACCTCATGTCCAGAAACATGAAATTTAAGTCTATCAATTTTTCAACGATAACGATTGAACCATTTGGATATTGAATAGGATCGAAGGCTCCAACAGAATAATGGAATAACTCTTACAGTAAATAAATACAGCGTGTTACAAAAAAATTCTGTCTTCCAGATTATTTATTTCGTGTGTTATGAATGAAACCATTAAAAAACAGATATTATTTGAGATGCGATAAAATTTGAAAAATTTATGTTGCGCTATTATACTTTACATTTGCAGTTTTATTGGCTGGAGTACAAACTGACCAATGTAATTGCGAGAGATCTGCTCTGCTTAGAGAATAGCCAATAGTCTTGTTCTGCACAGACAACAACCAATCACAGAATGGCGCAAATTGAGAACCAATTTCCCGCGTTTGTTCCGTGCTTTCGATCTGCTGTAATGTCGCTTGTAGTTTTGCAGAGGAAGAAGGCTCCAAATCATTCTTTTAGTTGCATTTTAACAGACATGATTTACAACACGTGACTTTTAGAGCGGGAACAATGGTCCTCGAGACGACTACCTATAACTTAAATTTATGAACATTAGTACGAAGCAGATAGTGGCTGAATGGTAGTCGAGAATTTTTATATTCAACAGATAAGAATGTAAGTTTGTTTAAAAGCTAAAAGAGAATGCATTTCAAATTACTTCTCAATAACAGAATTTACATTTCTTCAACTTTTAACCAAGCTATTATTTGTATTATTTGTGCTATTTGTTATAGAGGTCGATAGACAAAAGTTATTTTGTAATTACGCTTTTCTTGTAAGCACTTATGTTAGAAAACCAAGTAATAAACTTATGGTTTGAAAATACTTTAAATGGCGTTCCTAAGCACGTGTCCGTATTGCCAATTATCATGTGACGTGTCAATCGAAATGGCTACAACGATAACAGCAATAGCCTCGCGAGGCTTGTAAATACCATACCTGCTTTCTTATTCCAGATTGAAGCAAAAACTTAAATTCGGGACATTATGTTGAGTAGACAAAGCTTGTATATGTCATTAGCGCACCAACACTACTATCTCAGACGCCCTTCAACTCGTACGTCACACTGCCACGCTGCTGCATTCTCTGCTTACAGCTCGTCCTTTCCGGTACATTCCGCGAACACTAATGTTTATTGTTTATCATTTTATATTAATATCACGTGATACGACTGTGTTGCCACCATTTGACTACGCTTCTGCCTTTTCGCTTAAATACCCCTTCACTTTGCGTTTCCCACAAGAACATGGCCACTGAACGACGGACATTTAGTCCCGAGGCCTGGCGCCAAAGGCTTCATGATTTGAACGTCAGAGACTTTCCTACTACTGTCGCTCTGGAGCTTACAAAAGATACATTGGGTTTCGTGCTAAAACAATGGAAGAGCTACAGTTCGACCGTGAAACTTAGTTTACTTTTTTCGATGCTCTGTATCAAGAAACTGCAAATAAAGTCATTTGAAGACAGTTTAACCCAAGTAGGTGAACGGCTTTTCTTGTGATCTAAGGCTTTATTCTGCCTGCCAAATATGTAGTTTCCGTTCCGCATTCTTTCCAGTCAGGTTCACAGCACATTTTCTTCCGTTTTCCGAGTTTTGTCAATGGGGCAGCGCATTTAATAAAGAGCGCATCTGCTGTCGCCTTTTTCATAATTAATGCCGTGGCATAGCCGTCAACTTGGGAACAACTTTCTCTGGATGTTAATAGAAAATGATGTACCAAAAACGCTTAGTAATATATCTAACGCTTTTCTGTAATCGTTTGAGGAAATAGATTATTAATCTCGGCTGCGTTGATGAAGATGAGTGGGTCAGTCAAATATCAAAAGTATTACGACAATATCCTAAAACTTTAGCACTAGATTTTCATGGCGAACTTATAATTCATCCAGATGCCATGGAGAACTGGTTACGTTTGAGGGAAAAAGGTTTGACCACATCAGAAAATTTACTTTGCGATCAACAGTTTTTCTTGTTCTTTCTTAATTCGATTTATTGATTATCTAGTTAGGCATCGAGGTACTCGATTCCGTCCAGCAGAATATCCATATATCCATCCTGATTTATACGACATCACCAGGCCCTTACAGGCTAAAATGGTCAATGAGTCTCCCTATGAAGTGCATGATTTGCAAAAATTGAGACAAGACAGATTGAGCGTGCTAAATGCCAGCACTAATCTTACTTCAAACACGCTGCTGACCGGAACCCCAGCAAGCACCTCCAGCTCATCACATGCTAGAAACGCCTCAATACAGTCTGTGCCAAATCCATCTCTTAATCGACCGCAGATGCCAGCCCGTATGGGATCAATGCCAAGCCCGTCGTCGTCGATGTTTATTCCCAGACGGAGACAGTCTTATCAGTCTCAATCGACTTCAAGAGTCGGTCCGATCAACACAGCTAAAGGTTTGTCATTAAAGTGTGTGCCTCTCAGATTCCATTGCGTATACGGGTATCTATTGCCCACTTGGTAACATTTTTCTCATGTTCCTGTGTTTCTACATGGAGTTAGGTACGAGTGGTATTGCTAAGGCTATGAACTCGCCCACTGATATAATAACAACGGGAAAGACATTTCCGAAACAATCCAAGATTCAAATGCTTGATATATCGGAAGGCTCATCTATAATAAAAAGCCAACAAGAAAGCATAAAAAAGACTCAGATGGGTACATATCGCTATTTCTTTCTCGGCCGTGACACTGTCCTTTGTTAACTCAAGTATTGTTTGCCGTTTTCTTTATTCTTTATTGCTGTTCGTTAGAGGAACAAAGTCAAAAAGAGAAGCGGCGTCTAGAAAAAGAAAAAAGACAAGAAGAAAAACGTCGAGAAGAAGAAGAACGTCGGCAACAACGAGAACGTGAAAGAAACGAAAAAATTCGACAGCGCGAAGAAGCAAGATTACAAAAAGAAACAGAGAAAAAACAACGAGTTGCTGCACGTGAGCAAGCTCAAGCTCAAGCTCAAGCTCAGGCTCAGGCCCTGGCTCAGGCTCAAGCAGACGCGGCGAATAACGCGGTCAATAGCGCTCCAAGTAAGCGAGCATTATACTTTGGTTTCTTTTTCGCATGTAACTAGATTTCGTGAAACCTCTATTGACAATGTTTTGTTTTGTATTTGCAGGCGTGCGCAAGAAGAGAAAAATAAGTGGTAGCGTTTTTCTCTCCTTTTTCTCTTCTTTTTTTTTTCGAATATTACTTCAAACTACGATAGAGTCGTTGCTGATAACATTTACGATTTACAGTTTTAGAGGATGTCTCATTACAAGAAGAGCCCGCATCAGAAAATGAGTTGCCTCACAAAACTTCTCAACTAACTATAACTTCTCCAACGTCATCGACGTCACCTCCAACGAGCGTGCCGAAAAACGAAGAGGATACACAGAAATCAGATAGTCAGTCAGCGACAGTTGAGAAAGTTTCGGAAAACACACAAACACCATCATCTGAGACAAATGTGTTACCGAAGGAACAAATTGATTCAATGGTACAGACCGTACTAAACGATCAGTGCGGGTTGTTGTCCGAGGAGGACAAAGCTACAATAATCAAGTTTCTTGGTGAGTTTTGCTATTTTTGATACTTTTCAAAGGAATCGTATAGAGTTTTTTCTCAATGTTTATTTGTGAAATTTTATAGAGAAACAATTTACGCTAGGAAATTATGGTGGTAGCCAAGACACACTTCCGAATCCTGGCGACGACGTCCTTCGGTTTAACATGCATGAAACTCGGATTACAGACCCTGTTTTGGGTAAAGAAACTAGAGAGACAATAGTCTTTGAAATGAACCTAACTAGTGGGAAATGGAGGAAGTTGAAGAAAAAGATTAGGAAATCGCGACCACCCGCCACAAACACTGACAACGCACCAAACCCTAACGAAGGCGATTGAGTGAAAGGCAAAAAATATGTTAAATCTCGTAGTTATAATTAGCACTATAGATGTCAATTTGACGGATATATTATGCGACAAAAGGCTTTATATAATATTAATAACAACAATAATATTAGTGTACATAAAGTGCATCATCCTTGCAAAAGTAATATGAATTTCGACGTATTTAGTATCTGGAGTCTACGTTTCGTGTGCATTGCGTACGATGGATGCTACTGGGACCTAACTACAGACTATTATTATAGATGCATTTATTAATACGCATGCTAACGCTAAAGAATTCATTCTCAAGTAACAAATCATAAGAAAACAAATAGACTGCCTCACTTTTTATAACCCAGAAAGTTGTGATTTGACAAAAGTTAGATGCAAGTTAGTTGGGGGACACCTACCAAGTTTGCCTGCTAACATCTCTTTAATATTGCAAAAAGTTCGTTCCGGCTCTCTTCATAAATGAGCCCACAGACTGTGTTCTTGGCCAATTTACAAGCTCGTTTGCTTAAACAAAAGTAAACGCGAGATTTTATGTATACGTGATAGACAGAGAAATAATAGTTGATGGGCAAACAACATTACAATTATTTATGGCAATCTTCTATAAAAATATACTTTGGAAAATATCATTTTAATAACAGGTTAGCATAATTTTGGCAGTTGAGTGAATTGTTATGTAAATATGGCAGAGTGCATGAATAAAAGATTAAATAGCAATGAGTGGGATTCAGGCGATGTTTCAGGAACAAAAGCAACCCATTTATTAAGAGACAATGATAAGCAGTCGCAACAATATCAAAAAACGCGTGGATTCGGGTGAAGCACAAGAAGCAAAAGTAAGGCTCTAGACTTTGCTTGAAAGAAATAACGGCTCAACAGAATTGTTCAGCTGATACCCTCTTGTCGCGTTGACGACAAGTGCTAGAAAGGTCAATTGGAATACAGAACCTCTTACTAAAAATAGTATGGAATGGTAATTTATAGTCGAAAGCCTGCGACTCCGACGATTTTTGGAGTTTTTCTTTACTTCGTTTTTCGTTGTATGGTAGTACTAATCGTATGGAGAGAAGACAACTCTCTTTATAGTCACACAGTCAGAACAATGGTGATAAAGAGGTTCTCAAACATGGCGTGCTAATAAAAGAGATGCGATTTGATTGGTCTAATCACATGATCAAAATTCTTTACGCCCATACTCCCCGCTCGCTTCAATAAATCAGTGACGACAGTGGCTACTTCGCAGTGTTACCTCTTACCATTTCTTTCTGCGTCAAAGTTATTAAAGACATGGTTGCCATTGCTGCTAAGGAAGTTGCGCTTTCTGTAAACGAAACCGTGTTCGCAGCCCTCCTGGAAGGGTCCCAGCGGGAGTACTGATGCAAGAAATTGGGGTGCTTCTTCCTTAGGATGACGGTGAGGCAGTTCAGCTTTCTGACCCTGTAAACGAAACCGTGTTCGCAGCCCTCCTGGTAGGGATCCAGCGGAAGTACTGATGCAGGGTAATAGTCTCTGGCAAGAACTGTTAGCTGAGCTGCTGCGCGCTGCGCGTAGCGGTGCTCACTAGTCCTCAGCGCAACCCTCTTTGAAAGTCTTTTATAGTCCCTAATAAAGACCACGAACCCTCTTTGAAAAGTCGTTAAGCGGTTGGAGAAGAGTATGGACATGAACTTTACCCACCGGTAAGACTAATGAGGACGACCTGAAGATAAAGAGAACGGAAATAATAATAAAAGCAATCGTTGTAAAGATGAGTGTATCTCTCCTGTAAGGCTCTGAATTTTCTGAAATTTGGAATGATACCCCTCATCTGAGATTGTCCGCAATAGTTATACGTGCTTCATATCCGAAAGACTTGCGCAACTAATGTTATTTTCTCAGATACAACAAATTCTGTTAGTAGTCGTGAATTTTCACAGGTTACTTTCTATAATCAATTCTTGTTTGTGTTCTTTTGAGAATGTCATATTAGAAGTCGGTATGAGATAAAAAGCAATTTTATTGATTTCCAATTTACCGAAAACTCGCATAATTAATTATAAAACACTAGTCAGCGTCTAATAGGACTCCTGTAAATGTTCATATTTTTCTATTTCCCTGTTGTAGCAATTCATTAATTATCGATACACTTATTATTACAGCATAATAAATACAAAGATTCTTGAACACCTGATCATCCTTCGACTTTGTATGATATGTCGTCGTTTGCAGTTCGCAAGCGGTAAAGAACAAAGTTCGAGAGTACTAAACCTAATCATCAGATATGAGATATTACGTTGATCAAATACAGCTATCTACCTGTCATAGGTCAAAGTAAGACTCCCAAGGGGTATCAGTCTCACGTGCGGGAGACGAGAGTCCGGTCGAATGATCCAACTCATAAGTCTTTGACTCTGTATACTTTGAATCGACGATAATAGATTTCGTTCTCATAAGCAATGCCTATACAAGAAATCAATGCTTTGCTTGTCATCACAAGATATTATTAGCATAACACATGGGCTCGTAAATACGCACCTTTAATGTATATATTGAACCCAATGTGCTTGGCAGGCTCCACATATCCTGGATCGAACGGGGTATCTTCTTACTGCTCCATTCCCACATTATAAAGACCCCCTTTCCAATCATCATCATGGCCTGAAAATATACTACATTGGCTTTATTACATATTAACAGAGCATTAATAAAGACGAGAACGTGTTTTGCAATGAATTCACTTTGTACAGTCTTACCTATTATGTGAACCCCAGCAACCCGAAGTTCCCTACAACGTGTTATGTCAATACCTCTTATACAGCATCCAACTCTAATGAGATGACGCTTCATTCCGTTCGCTAATTTTAATAAATCGCCTTCTGCCTTCTTTTTCGAAACACCATCCGTCCCTCCCGAGACTTCAATAAGAAGCATATGTGGTTTCTTCATTTCCTCCACGTCGCAGAATACGCCATCCCATAAGTTATGCTCTTTTTCGCGACTTTTGACAACGTCTACATCCCCCTTTTCACACCTAGTATAGCATGTATATTACGTTTGAATGAACGATAAATTACCCAAAAGCATGATTGCTTATAGCCTGCACAACTAACCAGAAGGACGCCAGATGATGTGCATCTCCAAGACAACGTTCGAATAAGGGTGCAATGTATTTGACCGTCCACGTTCGCTCTGGCATTGGAAGCAGCAAGTCGGCTTTGCCTTCTAGACCGGTAACACTACAATTAAATAAAATCTGTTAATGACATGTCACAGTCCGGTCTTGCAAAAAAACGCATGTACTCACAACAGGTCCTGGAGAACTCTCACTGCGCGACACTGTTCACTTGTCGGTGTCCCACAGTTATCAAGTCGTTGCCTCATTTCAGGTAACGTTCTCTGTCAACAATCCTGTCATTAGTCATACGGTCACCACATTTACAAGCTAGTCATAATAAAGATTGTAACATACCGCTGATAAGTCCACACAACCATCCAACGCATCCACGCCAGACATCTGCAGCATACTTTTGAGTGAATTAATTTCGTCATCTGTTAGTCTCTTTTTCACTTCATTCTTCATTTGTGATGGTTCGTCTTCTTTTCGAGATGATAAGCGGATTATTCCATTCTGAGCCAGTCTAATCAAGAGACAAGAGGGATTTGTCAGAATTCATGTAAAAAAAAAAATAAACAAATAACAAACGGATTGCAAATATATTGTATTACTTCTTATCAAAATAATTATTTGATTTTGACATGTCCCGGAGAATTTTTCGAAGTTTGTCAATAAATGGAGATTCCGGTTCCCATAACACATCTAGATCATCTTCGTCTTCTGTCAGTTCCACCTCTGGATCTGCTGTTTCCACTGCTCGTGTCTCTCTCAAGTTTTCTGGCTCTTCTGAATTCTTCGTCTCTACAGGATCCTCTTCCTCTGGCCTTGTACTAGTTCGCGACTTTTTGATTGATCTGGTATATTCAATCCCGAATTCTGCCATTGCTGCGTAGGTTGACCTTTTCAGTATGCCAGTCGTTGATGCCTTGTGGAAAAGAAAAATGCGGGTCAAGACCACACGTGCCTCATACTTTAATAGTCTAGTTATTCCGTCTACCAGCTCACCTGTGCTGCAGCCGTTCTCGACTTCTCACATGCAGTCGCAATTGCAAGCCTTGCCTGCTCAAACACGCGCACTCTTTTTGTTGACTATTTAAACAGTTGAGAATTAGTGATCCTTGTTATGTACTTGGTTTCCCTTTTACGTACTCTAATTAAATCATGTAATGCACCAGCATAGTCGCGAACGCTCTTTGGAATCCGTGTCGAATGTCTTAGGGTTTTCAGAGAACTGCAGTACAGTTTGAATATAGTGTCGGGTGTGGAGCATGTACCTGCAACCTCTTTCGCAAAAGCATCGAAATCGTTCCATAATTCCAGGGGTTTTGAGTAAAAAAACTTGTCTACGGAATTGAAGCTCTTATCGACTTTGTAGTCTTTGTAGCCAGCTGGAACAAGCATGTATATATATGATCAATCAAGTTTAGCAAAATGAGTGCTAACATAAATGTGCGCAGTATAAGGAATGTATGCTAGTAAAAAAAAAAAGGAATTTAACTGAAAATGAGAATATGCGTAGTATAAATAATATTTTCAGGGGCAGGGTGACAAGTCTGTCAACTTTGTTTTTTTCACAGATCTGCTGCTTATTATCATTCTGACAATGAATTTTTTGCCATAAATGGATGGTATGGCTGGAAGATTAATTAATAACATGGGACAGAAACACAGAATGAACATTTCACCATAAATAGATAAGGATTAATTGACGTGGCTGATGATGTGGCAAATGAATCAATGCATAAAAAGCAAGGTCAATAATTATTGCATAAAAAGCCAGGTCAGAAATCTCTTGCCACAATGCATTCTACGAAGACAACGTTCTGATGCAGGCAAGAGTTATTGTTACATGTTTTACAATAGTTGTAGACGTCTGTGGACTTTGATTATAAACAGAGAGTAGCATTGCGTTTAATTATTTTAATTTTATAATTATTCTATCGTTCGCTTTTTGTAAGAACAATGTATTGTCATAACAAATATATTCCGTGCTGTTGAAAATGAGTTAATTGACTACGGAAATACGCAGCGATCCTCGCCATGACAAACTACTTTGATTTGATATTACGTGTATAATTTTTATTTGTGACAGTGAGCTAACAAGTTCGCGTTATCTTTTAAACGTGGTGACTTGTTAGTAGTTATTTTTGACCGGATATAAATATCCCCGAGTGGAACTGGTTAATGTGTTTCTTGGAGATAGGTTAGTATGTGGTTGCTCAAAAAATGAATCCGGGAGGGTTATGTGAAACATTCCAAGCTCTCTCTCACAATGCGTACTAAACTAAGAGAACTTTTTATTATTGAGATTGTCCATACACTTTTTTGCCAGAAAATTCTCCATGCCACGTATTGATCACGCCTACAAAACATTTGGCGACGAATAGTATAATACCGCGTGTTCATGGTATTGTAGAAAGTGTACCACGATGAAAGACCAAAATAAAGACGTTGCTACGTTCGTAAAGAATTTTCTGAGAATTTACGTCAACCGAATGACTCGATTGTTTATATTACAAGTCCGCAGAACCTTTCTTGCGAGTCTTGAATGAGATAGCATGCATGCTGAAATACGACGGGTTATGCCACTAATTAACGCAAATCATGAGTCCAAGACGCTGTCACAAATCGTTACCTTTGCACTACGTGTCAACCTTCTAGATTATGTTATCTCAGTGAAATTTAGACTGTTATGAAAACGTTCATTGATCAATAAGAAATTATCTCTATCCGTGTAAAGCGCACTTTACTTATGAAGCAGTATGCGAACAAAGTAATTGCATTATTGATGGACGGGATTATGTAAGAATTTGTTATAGCGCAAAAATAAATTATCTCATCATGTCATGTGAATTCGAAAGGCTTGACTTGTAACGTAATTATGTTGCTTCTTGGTTGAAGAATAAAATTTCACTTTTGTCTATTAAATATAGCAAAACGTTAACAGAGTTTACATCACTATTGCAATATCACTTTTACGCTTGACATAAACATAACATATTTCCTGCTATACTTGCACTTCGATCTTTGTCTGATTGAAGAGCTTTGCGAACACCACCTCAATAGCTTTTTCGTTCCGGTGCCCTTTTGATAATAAAATGACTATCCATTGGCAAGTTTCTCACTTTAAGCAGTCCGTAAACATTAATATTAATACGTAACGATAAGCTTTTAGTACTCAATATGAAAGTAGTTTATTGAAAGAGACATATAGACAAATTAAAATAATATTGAAAAACTAAAAATCACTCTTAGTCGTTTTAATCACCTAATAACCGCCCAACAAATCCACTACCACCACGCTTCGTCAACTAATGATGGATGCTCATCCCTACTAGTTTTCCTCCTGGGTTCATAACTATCCCGTCCTTCTTGTTCAAAGACATTACCCCGACCCAACTTGGCTTGTTGGTTTCTCCCACGAGTAAGCGAAAAATCATCCTCTTTACTCTCGTACGCGTCCCTTTGCTGGTTTCTCCCACGATTATACGAAAAATCATCCTCGTTACTCTCGTATGCGTTCCTTTGCTGGTTCCTCCCACGAGTAAACGCAAAATCATCCTCTTTACGCTCGTACGTGTTCCTTTGCTGGTTCCTCCCACGATTAAACGAATAATCATCCTCTTTATTCTCGTACGTGTTCCATTCGTTTTGTTTACCACGGTCCAAAAAGCTGCTATGGCTACCACCTTTGTTGCTTCCCCAGCTCTCATTCTTAGCGTTGCTGTAGTTCGAGTCCCATTGCGAATTCGTACTCGAAGGCTGTTGTGGTCTCGAACCCCAACTATCATTTATATCAAGTCGGGCTGTTGCCCCCCCTGCTTGCCATTCTGCGTCCGTTTTCTTATATCGATTAGAGGACCTGTGGGAAGAGTGCGATGATGATCTTCCGCGATCTCCCTTATCCGAATCCCGCCGATACGCATGGCCACTATCATAATCTTCTTTGTGACGATTTCTGTGATTATCGCTTTTATAACTGTCGGCATGATTATCATAGCTCGAGCCTTCATGACCGTGTCCATAATTGTCATCATAACGAGATCCCTTATAACCGCTTCTATCATCTCCGCGATCATAACGAGGTCCCTGGCCGTTCGAATCGAAGTCCTGGCTACGATATAATCCTCGATCGTAATCATCTTCTTTACGACTATCATCTCTACGACTGTTGCGGCGAGGTCCCTGATCGTAATCATTTCCATAACTACTATCTCTACGACTGTTACGGCGAGATCCCCGTTCATTGCCGTAATTATCATCTTTGTAACTGTTACTACGAAAACCTCGTTCATTGCTGTGACTATCAACTTTGTGACTGCTACTGCGAAATCCTTGTTCATTGTCGTAACTATCATCCTTGTGACTGCTACTGCGAAAACCTTGTTCATTGCCATAACTATCATCTTTGTAACCGCTACTGCGAAAACCTTGTTCATTGCCGTAATTATCGTTTTTGTAACTATTACTACGATCATGGCCGTAACTATTGTTACGACGAGAACTGTACTCATCATTTTCATCATCTCTACTATTATTACGGCGATAGTTGTCGCCCCCACTTTCTGTGCATTCTCTGGCTATGTGTCCCTCGCCTTTACACTTGTGGCATGTCTGAACTGGCTTTGAACGAGTTCGGCCCCGTCCCTTGTCATCAAATCCACCACTGTCCATAGAAAATGCTGTCATGCGAATAAGGTTCGATTAAAAATTAAATTTACCGACAATTGACGTTATGGATATTATTTAAAACGCAAACAGTACTAGCTTGTATGCATTCAAAGCTGCTTACATGATTTATTCCAGTCGTCCTCTCCAGATCTGTTGCATTGAGGATAAGTGATTAGTCTTGAATTGAATCAATCAACTTCAATAGAACAATGAATGCCCCTTTACCTGCTCGATTCGCCTTTTCGACCACGCGCTGTCAGAGAAAGTTAAAATCAAATTAGAAAAATTTAAATTCAATTGATAACATCCGTAATTATGCAACACGCACCTTCGTATTGAGAGTCAGATCTCGGTTCTTTACAATACCTAAAGTGAAATTCTATGTTATTCTTCAAGTTGCAGGTTTTAAAATTATTATAAATGTACTTACTTCGTCATATGGTCACTAGATCCACAATTTTGACAACCAAGCGGTACATGGCGTTCGACTTCTACATTATGCAATAAATGTTAACTGTATCAATCCAGTTATGTAGCTTTCTCTCAAACAAAGTCTCTCAAGTTACCTCTCTTAGGTGCCGGACAATCTCTGAAAATAAAACTTTATTAGCACCTAAATCTTGATAATAAACTATTGTTTCTCGAACATACCTCGTCAAATGCCCTTTCTGCTCACAATTATAACAAATAGGCTCTGGACTAAACTTTAAAATTCCTGCATCCGCTAACCATTGCAAATTTTCTTCTTCTGAATTTGGACGCTCTCCAACGGTTTTTGGCAGAACGTCGGGAGAACCCATAATGACATTCATGACGTAAGTTTTGTCCATATTTCCTTGATAGTCGATCAAACAGTTTTGTAAGGGAATTTCTCGACGCTAAAAACGGTAGATTCGCAAAGACAAAAGTGATCGAATTTAAATATTTTGCAGACCGCTATATGAACATCTTATTCACTGATATTAGAGTATCATAAAACTTACGAATGCTACTAGTCTCGCATTGCATCTATTCTCTCTAAGTTTCTTCTCGATTGTTACAAACGTCTCACTGGGCGATGCTTTTGTATATTCTTCTAATGCTTCTTTGAAATCGTCAATGTCCCTGTCTCTGTCTGCAGTCATCATTGCACTCCAAGCTTCTTCGGCTGTCATGTTCGCCGGACCGTGCTTAGACCCTGTGAATAGACATTAAAAATAAATAAACGATCTCACAAGTAATGCTAGGTTATATTAATACGTACATGGAGTAACTTTTGGTCTCTGATATGAAGCATCAGAAGAACCCCGTTCAGGACAGTCTTTTGACAAATGCCCACTCTTCTGACAGTTGTAGCTAATACAAAATACAAAAGTAAGAAAACAATTATTCAATAACGACGAACGTTTCGTAAGCATATAGGACTAATAAATATAACGCGTACCAAGAACGGCTATCCAGACCTTTTTCAGGACAGTCTCTTGATATATGACCAGACTTATTACAGTTGTAGCTAATAAGCAAGAATAAACGACGCGAATACCAATTAATAATACGTTATGTTGTGATCTAATGACCTATATAATGCATACCATGTTGAACCAGAAGCCTTATCAGGACACTCGCGAGCAAAATGTCCTGAATACATAAAACATCAAGCACATATCAATGAGGCTGTTCACAACAACAAGTCAAACATTATTCATAACCATTCGAATTTCATACCGTCTTCACCACAAATTCTACAGCCATCTCCACGAAATTTAGAATCGAATTCTTTCTCACTACGTTCTTCGTCACGCCAATCTGGTTTTGATGGCTTGTGAAAATCAGTATTACTGTCAAAATTGTTGGTCTCATAAGTTCCTCCGGCCGAGCCAGCATCATTGCCTAATTCTTTTGAAAAAGCGGCCGCTTGCTTCATCCAATCATTTGATTCGCCGAAACTCTCAGTAGCATTGTCATTGTTAGAATCAGAAGCCGGTTTTGCACCCCAAGCACTCCCCCCTAGACTGTTGCTTTGATCAGCAGATGGAGCGGAAGTCCAGGCAGACGCTTGCTTGTCAGGACTCGAATCATCATTCCCAGTAGACGGAGCAGCCCCCCAAGAATCCTCTACACTTTTATTGGCATTTGAAACAGGGCCCCAGGAATTCGCATCTGGAGCAGATTGCTCCGCAGGTTTACCAGCTGATGTAGTAGTGCCCCACGTAGTTTCCGTACTTTTCTTGGTATCTGAGGCAGGACCCCAAGCACTCTCCCCTGGATCGTTGCTTTGATCGGCAGATGGAGCGGAAGTCCAAGAAGACGTTTGCTTGTCAGGACTCAAAGCATCATTACTAGTAGACGGAGTAGGGCCCCAAGAATCCTCTACATTTTTATTGGCATTTGAAACAGCACCCCAGGAATTCGAATCTGGAGCAGACTGCTCCGCAGGTTTACTGGCTGATAGAGCAGTGCCCCACGCATTCTCCGTACTTTTCTTGGTATCTGAGGTAGGAGGACCCCAAGAATCATTGTCCGGAGAAGGTTGATTTGTAGCCTTACTAGCAGGGCCCCAAGAACCATCCACACTTTTGTTAGTGTCTGGAGCAAGACCCCATAAATCCGCGTCCGGAGTAGACTCTATAGGTTTGCTAGCACTTGAAGTAGTAACCCAAGAATCATCCGCATTTTTCTTCGCGTTCGAGGCAGGACTCCAAAGATCACTGTCCGCAGAGGGCTGATCCGCAGATCTACTAGAAGGCTTAGTACTCTCAACCGGCACACCCCACTGATCCGGGGCTGGCTTCCCGCTAGATTGTATTATGTTGATCAAATGAGATTTCCTGTCTTCGGGTGACATTGGCGTTTTCGGTTTAGCGCCAGAAAGATTAGACACAGCATCTCGATTAGACCATTTTACAAGTTCTGCAAAATCTATCGGATCGGTCTGAGTGTATACTGAACAAAAACGGGCCAAAAGGGGGGGTGTGATTGGAGGAGAGACAGGTTTTGGCGTTGTGGCTGAATATGATGGCGACATGGCTGACTTTGGTGAAGACTCAACTAGATTCGGCGGTGTAGGCGGAGAATCTAGATTCTGCTCATCAATCAGTGAGCTATCTAGCAAATTGTCCTCGAATTGCGGACGGTAAATCTGATCATCTGATATAATGTCAGTTTCAGCAACGTTCAATACTGCATCATTTGGTCGAATTTGCTTATATGAACCGATTTCATCGACAGTGGCCACACCAGCAGTAGTATTGGTATCGATAGTCAACGTTTCCTCTATTTGAATTTCTTGTTGTGTTTGATCATCGGAAACAGTTTCGCCGTCAGCAACAGCCGCAGCTGTCCATATATCGTCAGCCTCTTGTTGAATTTCTTGTATCTCATTTTTGGCAGTAGCAATCGCATTGATTTCAATCAACGTCTCGTCGGTCTCCTTTAATTGAATCTCTTGTTGTGTTTCTTCTGTGGTAACAGTAGCATTGATGTCGATCAATGCCTCGTCTGTCTCCTTTGATTGATTTTCCTTTTTTGTTTCGTCTTCCGTAGTAGTATTGACATCACTCGTCACCGTTTCCTCGGCCTGAATTTCTTTTTGTGTTTCACCATCCGTAGTAGCAATAGTATTGACATCGATCATCGGCGTATCCTCAGTCTGAATTTCTTTTTGTGCTTCGTCTTCCGTAGTAGCATCAGTATTGATATCAATTAATGCTTTCTCAGTTTGAAATGCTTTTTGTGCTTCGTCTTCCGTAGTAGCATCAGAATTGATATCAATCAACGCCTTCTCAGTCTGAATTTCTTTTTGTGTTTTGTCTTCTATAGTAGCATCAGTATTGAGATCAATCAACGTCTTCTCCGTCTGAATTTCCTTTTGTGTTTCGTCTTCCATAGTAGCAGTAGTATTAATATCAATCAACGACTTTTTATTAAATTCTTTTTGCGTTTCGCCTTCCGTAGTATCAATAGTATTGATATCGATCAACGTTTCAGTCTCTTCGGTAGTAGCGGCAGTGTTGATATCAATCAACGTTTCCTCAGGCTCCTTTAGTTGAGTTTTATCTTCTGAAGTAACAGTGGTATTGATATCAATCAACGTCTCGGTCTGGATTTCATATTGCGTTTGATTGGTCGATATAGATTTGCTTTCATCAACGATATCGATCAAAGTCTCCTCTTCCACTTCTGGTTGAATTTGGTGCAGTGTTTCACCGCTGTGCTTGGTTTCATCTTCGACAGCAGTAATAGTCGTATTGATATCAATCATCAACTCTTCTTCTACTTTTGTTTGGATTTCTCGCAGAGTTTTATCGTCGGACATGATGTCATCTTCGGGAGCAGTAGTAGTTGTATTGATATCAACTTTGTCTTCAGAATCAGCAGAAGAATCGATGTTAGTCGCTAGTGTGTCGACTGATCGAGACTCTTCAGAACGTGAATTGATTTGATCAGCAAGTTTACTTTCTTCTTGGGCGTCGGTAAAATTCGTGTGTTGTGTTTCTTCTTCTATCATTATGCAAAATATCTTTTGAAAGTGGGGGATACGGTTAGTTGTTAGCGAGAAGTAATAATAGCGAGGGGGAGGTCCGCGATCAAGATAGAATAACGTGTATTAACACGATATCTCATAAATAAACTAGTCAACATGCGTTTAACACGTTATTCAGGAACAAGCTGCGCACGAAGTCACGTATTGCAAAAAGTAAAAAGTATGCGCTTGCGTGCTTGACGTCTCGTTGTTTGGAGTTCGTTTTCGCTGCCTACTTACCTTTTCTGTGAAAAGACTGTGGCTTAGAGATACTTAAATGTACGAACGTCAGGCGTTTACAGTGATGAACGAGACAACTAGGATGGTTGGAAAGGAAATTTTCTTCCTTAAATCATTGTTGTTGAAATGTGGAATGAAGGTTGTACGGGAAAATCGATAGGGCGGAATAATTTTTCGATCAGATCAAGGTGACGTCAAAAGTAAGGTTCGGAAACCCCGGACAGACTCGGTCCCGGAGAAATATAGGAATATCGACGGGTCTACTGTAGTTATAACAACAACAGCAATTAGGGCATTCCAGTTGCGTATAAGTTGAATTATTATCTCACCTGGACGAACGATCTAAATTCAGAATTCTCAGAAATTAACAGATACATTGAGCGATGTTTTGCGGAACAAGTCCTACTCTTGCGATGATTGGTGACATTCCACAGTCGGGTACTGGGGTCGACGTGATGTGTGATCTTTAAATACATATTAGGATAGATAACACGAAATAAGGGGGGAAGATTCATGTGAATTATCACATGTGTGCTACCCAGTAATATTACTTAGCAACGTGCACTCATTCCTATATATTAACATCGTCAATTTGGCTGTGGGAGAACGCTTTTTCTGCAAGGCTAAGGAAAAATAATAATAACGACAACAAATAACAGCAACAATATCAACGATAACGATAAGAACAATGACAACAATAATAATAACAATAATACAGTAATAACAATAATAGTAACAACAACAACAACAACAATAGTAACAATAGTAACAACAACAACAGCGATATAACATTTATTACTTTCAATAGTAAAGCCATAGACGAGATAGTTAAACTTATTTGGGTCGTGTAAAGTTGAGACACAAAAAAACGCAATATTTCTTAATATGGACTGTGATACGACGCTAAGACAAATAAATGATTGACAGCAGGTGGTGAAACGTCTGCAATGAGAAATACCCATTATCTACTTTCCAGAGCAAGCCAAAGTCTCCCAATTTACTAACAACGCTAATACTAAGGTTTTGTTAATTGGTCAATTGCTGGGCACGAGTAGTAATGATATATTTAATTGGTCAATTGCTGGGCACGAGTAGTAATGATATATTTGGCTCGACAAACGGGCAAAACGAGTGTAACTCGTGTTCCTGAACCTTAAATATTTGCATAATATGCCAGGTTTGGATACCATTCAACAAATAAAACGATTATGCAATTTATAAGTTGAAATTATAACGCTAATTATTGTGACGAAATTGGATTAAAACGAAACTTACATCGGTGAGGGTCTGGACTTTTAGATTAAGATGGTCGGCGCAATAACTAGGATCGCTTGTTTCCGTCAGAAACCGAGAGAACTAAACTTTTGTAAGCGTTAATGTCTAAAGCCCATAAATAAACAAACAAAGTTTGTCTTTGCTCTCTGATAGTCGTGGGTACGGTTTTTAGATAAAAATAAGCTTTTCGAGGTAGCCAGCACGCTAATATATTTCGGGAGACAATCATATACGGAGTTTGAGTTAATTCTACACAGTTTTTCTTTCTTCTCGTTCTCAGGTGATGTCGACGAGAGGTAATTTTGCCTGCTGATCTCGAGTGTCATTAGGAAAGCAATGTAGTATTACTTAAAACGTTTGGATGATTGGATGATTGTTCAGACGTTAACTAAAAATAGTTTCCAAATTCAAATCAAAAAAGGAAAAACCATTCAATCAAGTCTTATACCGTTTAGAGCGATTACTCTACTCTATAATGGTGCCGGATAATATTTCAAACAAATAACTAGTTGCTTATCATGAATGTCAAACGCTTTCGATGTTTGAAGCATTAGTCAAAACTAGCTTTGGCGGTTATCCGTTGTTAAACAATATACAATCTGAGAATTAGTCCACACATCCAAATTATATTTACATCACGTGTAAAATCATAAAATGAAAACGGGCAAACAAAAACGATAACGATATTACAGTCTATCGAGACAATACTTGCAATGAGCGTAAGATCAAGCGCAACGGCGAAATCAACTCCAAAAAAGCTTGCTTCAAATGGTACCAACAGACAAGGAGAAGCATCTCTTTCAAACGATAACGCGGACGAAGTATGTCCTATTTGCAAAAACAATAGATATCTTTCACCAGATATGAAATTGCTTGTCAGTGAATGTTATCACAAGATGTACGCTACTCATCCCATCTCTATGCTGTCCGATACGTTGAAAATTCGATACCCGTTTGTCCGATTTGATCTTTGTATAAACCACCTCTCTTTCTTTCTTAGGTGCGAGTCTTGTATAGATCGTCTATTTGCAAATGGCGCTGGTCCATGTCCAATTTGTGGTCAGGTTGTGCGCAAAGTGAACTTTGCCATCGCTACTTTTGAAGATCTGCTTGTTGAGAAGGAAATAAAGATACGAAAACGGATTGCCCATCAGTGAGTCATATTAGGAATAGTATATTGACGGTCGCACTTGGAGATTCCAACCGAGCGTTTGCTCACAATCGGATCTTGATATTACTTTTCGTGATATATCTCGCCAGTTTTAACAAACGGCAAGAGGATTTCCCTAGTTTGAAAGAGTATAATGATTACCTAGAAGAAGTTGAGAACATAGGTAACCTGTTTGGATGCTTTAGCATCATATCCTATCCTTATTATTAAACATTAACGAAATGTAATTCCCGTAGCGTGGAACTTGATTAATGGCATCTCTCTCGAGGAAACCGAAGCCAAAATCAAAGCATACCAACAAGAAAATCATGATTTGATTGCTGCAAACGCTCAACGAATGGTATGGTATAATGTGATTGATCTCGCGTGCCCGGTCGACACTATGGATCTGATTTGTTTTGTTATAATGCGGAAAATGCCATGTTCAGTTACAAGAAGAGAAACTAGCCAAATTAGTTGAGGAGCAAGAACAAAAAGAAAAGCAATCGGAATTCGAGAAATATCAGCAAACGTTGGAAGAAGAGCGCAAATTGAAAGCAACGTTAAAGGACGAATTTATAGAAGAGCTGGTAATCATTTGAATGTTTTTCGGAACGACAAGCTTTTATTACCATTGTCATCTATATTCTTATTTTGACACTCTTATGAAACAGGCAACATCAGACGCATCGCCCGAGAAAATACTGGCGGAAAAAAAGGCTGCTGCGGCAGCCGCGGCCGCTCAGCGCTCCTCGAAACAAACCGCCGAACATGCTGCAGCTACACCTTACGGTATAGCTGGTAACAGTGTTGGTATGTGGCTTGGCTTAGATCGAGAACAAATGGATGACTCGATGAAAGATTACGATCCTGTCGCGACGGAATACGCAGACATTGATGGATATACTCTGCGTGAGAAGTATTATGATCCGTATGTATTATATAAGAGGGGGGGGGGGGGGGGGACTACTCTTTTTTGAGCCTGGTTCGCTAATTCTCCATCATCTATCGGGTAGTTTTACGGAAGTATCGGCTTTATCTAAAACTGGCGGATTCAATATCAAGTTTGTTCATGAACGAGCATTACAAGCAGCCTTCTCAGGCATTTGTGATGTATAATAATAATAATATATTGAATTTGGGTTATCTTTCGTAGTCGATATTCAATATTATGCTTAGATTTGATAGATTCATCCATTCTTCTAAACATTATTTATGTACAAAAGAACTTTATTTCACCCATACAAAACATAGAAACAGAAAGAGAATAATCAAGCATATGACAAATTTGTACGAACTTTCAAATCCCCCGTTATCCGTATTATCTACACCCATCTTTACTACATTCCCTAAACTTAATGAGACAAACAACAATGTTTCATGATGAAACAAAACAAACAGGAGATGATAGAACTAAAAACCAAATGCATTTACACTAAGTTTTGTTTCTATTTACACGGTGATTTGGTTGTATCTATCACACATGAGAAGTATAACAAGATAGAGCCACAATGGCTTTAAAAGTAAAATTGTTATAACACTACTACATAAACACTCTCGTCAAATTATAATACTCTTACGTTGATAATCTTTCGCTTCACACTTATTCGTCTATCGTCCACGTTCCTATTCCTCTATATTAACTTTTCCATCTTTCATGCGACTCACTGCCCCGCCAAATATGTAACTCCCAAACCAGCGCCAATAAATGCAGTTACAGCACTCACTATTGCCAATCCAAAGTCCCCGACTTTTGCCCTTTTTACCCTTCGACGTGCGTCTTCTAATTTATTTTGAAGAACCTGAACATCATCTTGTTCTGTTTCGCTGTATGAACGTTTTCCAGATGAAGATGCTTGTGTGGATTTCGACGTGGATTTTGGGGGAACAGTCATCGAAATAAGAGTACTGGATGCAGGTGTAAGAACCGGTGGAGGAAAAGAATTCGAGTCGGAGCTATGTGCGTTGACTGGCGTCAGCTCTGGAGATGGTGGTGTTGGAGACTGTTCGGACTATAAATATAGCGGTATAGACAATCGTTAAGCGAAGGAAGAAATGCAAATGGCAGATACAAAATGAACGTTTTTTTTTTGTTTCCGATACTAGATTCAACATTGTGAAAACTCGCTGATAATTAAATAACTCACACTTTTGTCCTGAGATTCAGGCGTAGTTGTGGCGGCTGCACTAGTGTGCGTCTTGTTTGTCGGTAATTCTTTAGCCTCTTTCTTTCCCTTCACACTGCGACTTCTACCTTTTGTAGACTTTTTGATTTTCTTTACTGGCTGTTCGTCATTTTGTGCGATTGGCTGAGCGTTTTTAACCGAAGAGGCAGCAGAAGTAGTCTTGGAGGCGGACGATTTAGTGTCTGATGTTGAGACGCCAAGCGTTGTGTCTACATCTAACGTCAATTGCGATTTCTGTTGAGATATGTTTTCCGCACGCGAAGAAGTAGTGTGATAAGAGGAAGGGTATGGCTGGATTGGTATAGATGCATATGGGTTGGGTGTCGACACATGTTTTGATTTCTACAAAATGGGAAACGAAAAAAAATACTCGTAAGTATAACAGATACTGCACATAGTTCTGAAATTCTAATTCCGTCAGCTTAAACTCTTTCATACTTCTGCTGCTTCGCTGGTCCCTCCGCTGCTTTTACCAAAAGCAACGTCACTTTTCTGCGGTGCTGGTGGTTCACTTTCTAAGTCATGCCCGTCTTTCCGATCTTCCACATGTTCGATGCGGGTTTCTTCAATCGGTTTCTCGGGTTCTTTCCCGTCACCACGCTCTGGAGACAGAGTTGGTATTTGTAACAAGTTATTATGAACTAAATATGAGGGTAATATAAAATTTACAAGGACGGAAAGAGAGGGGAAGGGTGCATAAGACACATATGAGAGAGAAGACATAATTTTAATCACTTTCTCTCTCTCTATAAAACTTTATAAATTGATCAATTTTTCTTATTTACCTTCACTCGGTCCTGGGCTCTTTTCCTTAGCACGATCACTTGTTACATTCAATTTTATGTTGGTCGTTCTCTCCTTATCGCTTTTTGAGTCGGTTGCGTGTCTAATAACAAAAAGTTTTCTATCAACGAAATATGGTCGGATAAAAAGTAAAGCATACAAAATGATTATTAATCCAGTTGGAGACAAAAACATGCGAAAAATGCAAATGAAACAGGAAAGGAGATATATGATGGCAGGCTTGGTTCAACAACGAACAAAGGCAACGTGCACACCAAAAAGGTTACTTACTTTGATGGCTTGGTATTGTGATCTGTTTCGTTTGTCTTTACATGGCTGTTTTCACTGCCATTTGCGTTATCTCTTTTCACCCCCTGAAGATGCTGCGGTGGTAATATTTGCTGGTTACCTTCTTGAGGCGGATACAATACGCGCGCCGAAAGATGCTTATAGAGATCTTTTATGTGGAGAGAATAAACAGGAAAGGTTGAGAACGGACAATTTGTTCAATATTATTCTATTGACGCGTTGATAATGCGTGGAATAGTCTTGAAATAGGCTTAATTAATCTCATCTTTCTGTTTCCAATTGAAAAAACTTACTCTGATTCCTTCGGACACTATGACCAAAAGTAATAATATCGGCGTGCTTTAAATATCTAGGTTCTTGTTGGACGCGTTCGCCATTTACAAAAGTACCGTGGGTGCTCCTGAGATCTTTGATACAAATCTATAAAAGTAGGACAAGTTGTTATTAGAAAGGTCAAGTAATATATTTATCCACGTTTACTTCTATTGCTAGCTTCAACCTGACAAAAAAATCGATTATCCCTCTCCCGATATTATTTTATTGACTACTTACCCTCCCATTCATTTCTTTCAGTAGGGCATGTTCTCGACTCATAACATCGCAAACGAAGACGCCGTTGTCTGTTCTGGCCTCTCGTTGATTTCTGCTTCCGCTGACTCTGCCGATGCGGATTTCCTGCCCCGAGCCAAACGTCAGCACTTTTGTTGCAAAATACACGGAATCATTGAGAGGCTCCAGACTAATCTTTAGTGTTTTGTTAGAGGTTGAATTTGTGGAGGACGAATGTGGTCGGTCAGTGGATATGATATGGCGGTTCGTTGTAATGGGGACTGGTGTAGTCTGATGTTGTTGGCTTGCCATATTTTTTTGTGAGGCTTTTTCTATTGGAAATGTTTATTACCTTTAAGTGCAATATCAGATGCGAGAACGGTGTCTATTTACTGATGTGGGGTGTTGGGTTTTTGATGCGTAATCTTATCACCTGACTTTGAAGATGCAGTATAAATAGTATAAATAATTCCATTTTTGATAGGTCGGAAAGCACCCCAAATTTGGGTTCCCTTTTTGATACATCCGCAGTAAAATCACTGATAATAATAACAAACCAATGAAATAATCACCATTCCTATTAATATTAATGATTATCGGCTTATATAACGATCCTGTAGTTAATACTTTACGAACTTCTTTTCAGTAGAAAGCATATGAGTTTGTATTACAAAGGAATATATTTTCGAGAAGCCAAAATATGAATACATTCTATTAGCGTTATTTTAATTAATCGATATTTGTACCTCCCCCGATAAGGGTCCACTACATTCTCGACAAAATTCAGATTGAGTGATTAGATTTTGAAGATTTCAATAAGATTGGGAGTTTCTAATAAAAACGTTAAATCATGATAAGCTCGGGAAGTCACAACTTTATTTATTTATTTTTTTTTGCGATGGATCGGAATATAGAGATTATGAATCCCGTGCTCAATCAAACTAGTTATCATTTCTTTCACGCGCTTACTCATTCGATAACGATAATCATAATTCATGAACAAAAACAAATCTATTGTACACTAACTACTCATCGAAAGTATCAAGTCTCCGACCGATTCTTGGTTTAAACACAAACTTGGTCGCAAACATAAGAGACTCCCCGCTCTATATGCATAAATGACCTTAAGCTGAACGTCAGCCGCATAACCGAATAAATGACCAGGTCCTTGGTTTAGCAGATATCATTGTTAGCATAGCTTTCAAGTCGCAAGTCTGATCTAAGAAGGATCTGACCAAAATCTCTTAATATTAACGGGAGATCGCCAAAGCCAATCGAATTGTAGTATGGGATATTTGGGACATATGTCATATCGATATGGTAAAGTTTCGTAACACGTTATCTTGTCGCGTCAAAGCTTGCTTTTGTGAACACGTATCATATCGAATGACCATTGTTGAAAGTAATATCTCTGTGACCCGCGCGTTCCACGGGGACACTGTACATACGAGTTGAGGTAGGTCACTGATTGTTTACTCTGAGAAATTATAGTCACGACTTTTATTTCCTTGTCGATAGTCTCCTTTCAGACGAATAAAACTTCAAACGAACGATTCACTTTGACAAGTCTTATCGCATTCCAACAAGTATCAAGTCACAGTGTTTCTAGCGTGTCGAGAACTATCATTTCAGTGATTGGTTTTCACACAAGTTTACTTGCGATGCAAATACTGTACAAAGCAGCCCAGTTTTATTAGAACTGTATCATTCGTTGAATTCGCTTACGATAAAACGGTTATATATCTTGTAGCATGTCATGAGCATCCTCGTGCTCGTCAGCAATTTGGTTTCTCGGTACGCGCGTGCAAGTCATTTGGTTGCTTGTGTCACATGATACGATTTTCCAGAAAAAATTGTT